CGTTCCAAAACAGTATCCTCATCTTCTCGAGTTCGGCAGACTTCATGACGAGGAGGGATTTCACTGCCACACTACTTTTAAGAGAAGCCGTCTTTGCCCAATTAGGATACTAAGAGTATGCCCGACGGACACTTCATGGTTCTTGATAGTTTCAAGTTTGAAATTATTTGTGCCAATCACAAAGGAAGCCACCTTCACCTTCTCACCGCCATACAGCCTACAGCCCGAGCAGTACATCATTTCCCTGTCAGGGTCATGCACTAGCTATTCCCGACCCAATTTCCATTTGTCGTTAAATTGTATTTTTGTTTTTGTTTCAACTTGTTGATCATTACCAAGTTTTCTTTTTGTGTTTCTCCTGGTTTAGTTACTCCCTTTATGCGGCGCCACATAACTAACGTTAACTACTCGTTCAGTTAACTTTGTGTGACGTTAAGTATTGCGCATGCGTGAACACTGCTCATGGGAATTGTAGTTTTGTAGTCTCACATTGCAACTCGTTTTTATGTCACTTTACTTTTAAGAAGACTACAATTTTAAAAAAAAATTCAACCTGCCAGAGTGGTTAGTTAGAGTGTCTGTCTAACCCGCCACCGCTGAAATCTACCTGTATTTGGGGGGTTGGTGGGTGTTAATGTAAAGCCCTGGTAACATATAATTTTAACCAATGCTTAAAGTCTGAGCGGAAACACGATTGGTGTGACAGCATGTAAAGAGATATTATTCAAAACCAAGGACTTGAGAAATTAATGGATCAAATATTTTTCCGGCTCTAAATGCATTGGCTTCTGTCTTTCAAGTGATGAATGAATGACTCAAACCCGAGATGAACAGATCAAATCCTTTTCCGGCTTTAGCACAGTTCTGCACTCACCAAGCAGCACTGAACACCCTTTCACTGCTGCTGCTACTGGCCAGGATGCACTACTGATCTGGCTAATTTAGCATGTTGTTTGTTAGGATTGTTTGTTCATCTTTTCAACAGTCAAGAACATTCCAACATTTCATCTTGCCTGTCAGCTAGCTGTACAATCAGATTTAGTGCTGTAACGTAATACGCAGTGTATGAGCGACTGCTGAAATGCCTTAACGGCTTGAATGACTGTTTTTATTGATCTGGCAGCTCTGTCATCATTTGCTTCACCTTTGCAGAAATGGATTTTAATATTGTAACAAACAATTGGATTACTTTCTCGCACTAATCGAAATGCATCACACGACTGTTCATTTACCGCGAACTAGCAACATTGTTAGGTCTAGCTGCAAACAATGCAGGGATTAACCTGGACCCGCCATGACTAGCTGCGGCAATGTGCCACTGGTGCTTTCCTCCTTTCATGTGCGACTCGACGGCTTTAAGCCCCATGGTCCCTAACAAAAAACTCTTTTTAAATAAAAATACAGAATACCTCAATAACCGCGTAATGACAGCATGCAGGTGCAGACGGACATAAGTGTCTGTAGCCGACCTACCTTAATAAGTTAATAAATCACGGAGACTGTCAATTCTCTCCTGTTTCACACATAATACATTGATCAGCTATTAGATGTTTTACGGTGGACCACTGTGCTTCCCTATAGTCATTAAGCACACCCGCTGAAAATTTAATACCTACAGCAACTTTACGGTAAATTTAAGACAATTTAACACCTTCATTTCCCGGATTTTAATTTAAGACTTTTTAAGTACCCGCGGGAACCCTGGTGCATGCACGAATAAACAAATCACTGTAACACTTTACAATAAGGTTCATTAGTTAATGCATTTACTAATATGAATTAATCATGAAAAACACATGCACAGCATTTATTAATCATATTTAAACATTTACTAATGCATAATTAACATCCAAGTCCATGCTTGTTAACATTAGTTAATGCACCATGAGTGAACATGAACTAACAATGAACTACTGTATTTTCATTAAGTAACGTTAACTAGCATGAACAAATACAGTAGTAAAGGTATTGTTTATTGTTAGTTTATGTTAGTAAATGCATTAATTAACATTAACTAAAAAACCTTATTGTAAAATGTGACCCAAATCACTTAATTCAAGTCGTTTGTTCTTTCTTTTAGGTGAGTTCGACTTCATGCAACACTGCATAGATTGTCTTAAAGTGGTGCATGCTGGTTAAAAATTTAGTCTTGAGTTGATACTGTATCAATGCCATGTGACTGTCACATGTGGCATCAAAGTACCAAGACAGATGACGGATTCAGCCAGTGCAGCTTCTGAAGAGCGACTGCAGAACCTGCGAGGACGACACCGATAGTTCATGATTGGCCGAGTTCACCGCATGAAAACAACCACGTGTGTTTCGGGTTTATTATTGGACAAATTTAGTTTCACAAATTTCAAAACAAACAATTAACTTTTCATACAGTCTCTATCTTGTACACATCATGTTTATTAAAAGACTACAAATGAAGCGCGGTTTCAGCCGGTGATCAACGAGATTAGCCAAGCGCAGGCAAAGCAGTGAAACTGGACAGCAGAAATAAGGGAAAATAAGAGAGTAATATAAACAAAAATGAATAGGCCTTCTACTTGTTTGAATATGCTAAAGCGGGGGTTGCATTTATGTACATTTATGGATATAAAGCTTTCCAATATATTTTAGTGTAAAACCCTAAACAAGGTGTTTTGATTAAGTCTTAAACAATGATTAAGATTGTTTTGGATAAAGAAAGCATTTTCAAAAGCCCTTTAATCCAAAAAGATTGAACACTTTTAGTAAACATTTCCCAGAAAGAGCAGGTACATCAATGTCACTTTTCAAACTTGTGGATAAATGGCTTGACAGGAAAAAAAAAGTATAATAATCTAAATCAATTTAAAATGTCTGTGCAGTGTCAATCCGTACAAAATTTCTAAACAGCATGCACTGCTTTAAGACAGATTTCGATTAATCTGCGCAGCACTGCATGAAGTCAAACACACCTATTGGCTTATGTCTTTATTATGAAGAACGAATGACTCAAACCGAGGACTCGAGAGATATATGGATCAAATCCTTTTCCGGCTCTAAATACATATGATTGGCTTCTGTCTTTTATGTGATGAAAAAATGACTCAAACTAAGGATTTAGGAGATGAACGAATCAAATCCTCTACCGGCTCTAAATGCATAGGATTGGCTTCTGTCTTTCACGTGATGAACGAATGACTCAAACCGAGGACTCGAAATAAACAGATCAAATCTTTTTCTGGCACAAAATACATATGATTGGTTTCTGTCTTTCATGTCATGAATGAATGACTCAAACCGAGGACTTTTTAAAAAATCTGTTTTAAGTTGAACATACAAACAAAATAGTACATACTTACAATATGTCATCTCAAGGTTGAGTAATAAAATAGGCAAACATAATGTGCATCTTAAGAACAAAAAAAAACTGTTTTTTTTTTTGTTTTATAAATTGCAATAAAATAAATGAAATAAAAATAAAAAAGAGGCTTTAAAAATTAAATGATAAAAATGCAGAAAATAGATAAGCTTAAGGGCCTTTTATCATTCACTTATTTTACAGATTTGCAAAGAAGTTTTATCTCATTCAACCACTGTTTACATAGGTGTAGTTTTTTTTAATAATTTATTTATAAGGATTTTTTATACATTTGCACAAAACAGAAAAAACAGTCAACAACAACAAAACAAAATATACAAAAAACATCCCCAACACAACTTTCCCTTTTGTGGCTTTAACAGAAGATAAACATAGCAGGTTACAGTGAGATGAAAGAGAAATGATTTTAAAAAATAATGAGGCGGTCATTATATGGGATTAAATATCCTCCTGCTCTAAAAATTGTATTGTACAAAATTGTCAAAGTATGTAAGAAAGAGAATCCATGTTTTAAAAAAAAAAAAAAATATATATATATATATATATATATATTTTTTTTTTATAAATTAGATTTTTTCAATCTGAATAAAATATATCACGTCTTTAATCCATCTACTATGTGTTAGGGCATCAGTTTTTTTTTTTTCCAATACAGAAGAATAAAACTCCTTGCCAATAGCATGGTAAAAGCTATTACTCTACATACTTCTTCTATAAGCACAATATTTTCAGGACTGGTTCCAAAAAATGCCAACAGGGGTTCAGGTTCTATAGGAAAACCATACATACAACTAAATGATTGAAAAATATTTTTCCAAAACCTCCCTAGATTTGGGCAGAATCAAAACATGTGGCCAGCTGTGGCATGTGAATTTGACCATCTACTGCAAGCTGGACTAATAGTAGGATAGATCCTAGACAACTTTAAATTGGTAAAATGTAACCTGTGAAGTATTTTAAATTGAATAAGGGCATGTCTAGTACAGTGTGATTATGAGTGTACTTTATTTAAAATACCATTCCATTCTGAATCGGTGAAGTCTCTGCTCAAGTCAAGCTGCCAAGAGGTTTTAATGTTCAAGACTTTGAAGATCTATTGTACAAATTAAAGAGTATATAAGAGAAATTAGTCTACAAATCTACATCAATTACTGAGGCAGCAGGAAATTCAGGAAAGGATGTAAATTTTGACTCAACAAAGCTTCATATTTGCAGAAATCTGAAAAAATTGATTTTGGACAGAGAAAAAATATGGGCACGCTCTTCAAAGAAGCAGAAAATATTATTAATGAATAAATCTTTCAGGCATTTAATCCCCTTCTCCTCCCACACCTGAAATGAGTCCATACATGATGGGGCAAATAAACAGTTAGGGGCAATAGGACCTGCAATAGAGAGAGCCTGAAAGCCAAAATGCTTTCTAAACTGTGGCCACATTTTTAGTGTATGTACAACTATTGGATTAAAAAAAGTCATGTAACCTTTGTGAAATTGGAAGTGATGCACATATCAAAGATTTAGGAGAAACTCTGGAACAAGCTATTTTACCCTGTACCCACAGCGGAATTGATACTGGGTCTCAAAAAGAAACCCAGTACACAATTCTTTAAATGTTGCTTTCCCAGTAGTAAAAAAAAAAAAAAAAAAAAAAAAAAATTGGCAGTGCCATGCCTCATTGGGATTTACCAGCATGCCATTTTCAGATCTCTCCATAGATGTTCAAAAGAATTTAGGTCTGGGCTCCATCTTAAACATTTACACTTCAGTCTCCAGTAATGCTATTATCACATTTCTGATGTCTTCTGCTATGACATTCAGAGCTGTCTTCAGCATTGATGAGACTGCCACACTGGACTTTATTTTTTTTATTTCAGTGCCAATAAATGGCATGAAGCTCAAAAAATACTCATTTTCAATTTTAGGAACTTCAGCCTCCAGCAAGTTTATTATTAAAGATGTGTTTATTCCATAACACAGGGGAGACTTCATCAGACTCTTCAGTTCCTCTATGGTTTTCCCAGATCGTTCACAGAGTTTCTGTAGACTCTGATCATCCAGACCAAACTCACTGTAGTACTTTGTCAACTCTTCTGCTATGATGTCTACATTCACAGAAATTGAAAGACCCGGGAGGTGAACATCAGTGATAGCGACAGACTGCTCTGTTACTCTTTCAATGTTTCTCTTAAGAGTATCCTTCCTTTGCTCAATAACCTCCTGTTTGACATTTAGCAAAGCTGACTTGAGCAGAATTCTCTTACACTTGAGAATCTCTTTCTCCATCATCTCCTGCAGCAGATTTAAATCATACTTTCCAAGGTCCCATCCAGAAATCAGGAACACAACAGGATATTCTATCCCAATCTTTCTCAGACCTATAAAAAGAGACATGACAGGGCATCAGTAACTAAGGCATAAATTTAGATATATTTTATAATTATCAGCATGCATATTATTATTACTATTCTTATTATAAAGTGGAGAAACTACTATCCTATCCCTATAGGATTTTCCCATAGGCTTTTCGAAGATTGCAAATAATAAGCTCTGTGTTCAAACACAGTTCATTACACTTACACGTTTTGTCCAGCCGGATAATCCACACACGAAAATACAATTATGAATATTGCTATTATTAATTTTGCCTTGTAAAATATATTCATGTTATTCACCTGATTTGACAGATCCCCCCACCTCAAATGCCCTCCTCCCCCATTCGCTGTTTACTTTCATTTTCTTCCACAATTCCCCAACTCTCTTTACTTTCAACTGCAACAACCCCGCTGCTCTTTACTTTTATCCATGACACCCCTCTGCCATCCCATGCCAAAGCCACTCCCCCTCCCCGCTCTTGACTTTCGTGCGTGATACCTCTACATCCAAGGGTCACATGCCGGATCCGTTACTCTGATCTGTTCCGGAACCTCGCAACACACAAGTTAAGCACTGGACAGTATAAAGTAGGAGCGAGTTTGAACCGTAATATGCCACGGTCACACTAGAGTTTGAGCATGCAAAATTCTGTCGTACGACACTGCGAAAAGGAGTGGGATTAAACAAGACGATTGGACATTAAAAAAGTGATTGGTCCATATTTTATGTTTTGATCTTTGACTGGCCTCATGCAATCACATGATGAGATTTTGCATGTCAGAGTTCACCAAGTGATCTGCAAAATTTTTGAACGAGCTTGCATTTGCAGTCTGTCACATTTGCATGCATATGAATGGAAGTGTGACTGTGGCTTTACTATGGTCCTCTTGTTTTTCTCTGTCATCAATCCTACTTTTATACTTTCGCTCCTCCTGTTGGACAAGAGACAGGTGGCACACACAGGTGATCCTCATCAGTACTTGTGTCACTTGCCACATTCTGAAAACAAAAGTATTTTGTCATATGAACTGAGCAACTAACCATTTTCGCAGTCTTCTCGGATGGAATCCAGTGTCTTTTTCTGGTCAAAGTTCTTCTTCTTCTTCTCAGCTGTAATGCTTGCATCAATTTTGGAGCGAACAAAGTAAAACTTCTTCCCCATCCTCATGATCCCTTTGGCCAGCTGAGTGTGGCATTCTCTGAATCGATCTGAAGCGATGATGATGAAAAAATCATAGCGCTCAAACTCAACCAACTCGAGATACTTATCGGCTTTGAAATTTGGTGTTCCAATGCCAGGAAGATCCCACAATTTCACATTTTCATATTTTGGATGAAAATAAACTTCCGGCTCTGCAGTGGTCACCACTGAACTGGTTTTAGCAGAGCCCTCGTCTTCATCTCCTAAACCCCTGAATGCATTGACAAATGTGGACTTTCCAGAACCAGATTCTCCTGTCACACCAATGTTAAGTACAAGAGAAGTCTCCTTAAAATAATTGCTGATTGTGCCAAATGCTGTTGGCAGATCTTGGGTGTATAAGATTTCTTTGATCTCCTTGAGCTTATCTTCTACTTTTATTTCATACAAATGTTCTAAAGCATCCACCTACAAAATTAAAACATTGATCAAGTGGTTTGGGATACAATTATATTAATTTATTTTTGCTTAATGCTGCCATAAGAAAGGGTATTTGGTAAATAAATAACATGAATTAGTGTGGGGTGAACTGGTGTAAATTGCAGATTATATAATCATTACTGTATTTACATTATTGTACTTGCACTTGAACAAAAGGGTTGTTGTCTTGGTATGAGGTATGAAATATCAAAAGAGCATAAATTAACCCATGCTTAAATACCCTTTTCATCAAAAAGATGTGACTTACCGGTAACAGCTGTGTTCCTTTTATTGCCTTAAAAAAAATATATTCACACAAGTTATCAAGTTTATTAAAAGAAACCTTCTGTGTATACTTGACATTTTTTGCATATTTATTTTTTAACTAATCTTCTGTTGATATTTTACAGTCCATCCGGAAAGTATTCATAAAAATAAAAAACCTGAAAAATCACACTGTAGAGAGGTAAGCATGATCGAACACCCAATAAAGGGGGAGAGCATGCTCAGAGCCCGGCGGCTAATCAGCAGGCCAATCAGAAATAATAAGCAACACCTGTTTATTCTAGTGATTGGGCCGGAGAGACACCCGTCTTAAGGAGAACGGGAGGAACAGTCGGGAGAGAGAGCTGAGCGACGGCCACACAGTGGGAGCTGTCATTTGTTGCACCTTAAAATAAAAAGATTGTTACTTATTTCAACGCCGACCCTGTCTTCTTCTTCCCACACAAAGAACCTTTGTTACACACACGTACATAAGTATTCACAGCTTTAGCAATGAAGCTCTAAATTGAGCTCAGGTACATTCTGTTTCCACTGATCATTCTTGAGATGATTTAGCAGCTTAATTGGAGTTTACCTGTGGTAAATTCAGTTAATTGGACATGATTTGAAAAGTCATACACCTGTCTATATAAGGCTCCTGGGTTGACAGTGCATGTCAAAGCACAAACCAACCATGAAGACAAAGGAATTGTCTGTAGACCTCAGAGACAGGATTGTTTGCTACAAAAAAAAATTCTGCTGCTCTGAAAGTTCTAATGAGCACAGTGGCCTCCACATCCATAAGTGGAAGATGTTTGGACTGTTCCTAGAGCTGCCGGCCATCTTAGCTGAGTGATCAGGGAAGAAGGGCCTTAATAGGGAAGGTGATCAATAACATGATGGTCACTCTGTCTGAGCTGCAGCGTTCTTCTGTGAAGAGAAGATAACCTTACAGAAGGACAACCATCTGTGAAGCAATTAATTAGTCGGGCCTGTATGGTAGAGTGGTCAGATGAAAGCCATTCCCTGCCTGAAATTTGCAAAAAGGTATCTAACGGACTCTAAGACCATAATAAACAAAATTCTCTGGTCTGATGAGACTAAAATTTAACTCTTTGGAGTGAATGCCAGGCCTTACATTTGGAGAAAATGCCACTGCTTATCACCAAGCTAACACCATCCCTACAGTGAAGCATGGTGGTAGCAGTATCATGCTGTGGGAATGTTTTTTAGTAGTAGGAACTGGAAGAATAGTCAGGATAGAGGGACAGATGAATGCAGCAATGTACAGAGACATCCTGAATGAAAACCTGCTTTAGAGTGCTATTGACCTCAGACTGGGGCGACGGTTCATCTTTCAGCAGTACAATAACCCAAAGTACACCGCCAAAATATCAATGGAGTGGCCTCACAACAATTTGGTGATTGTCCTTGAGTGGCCCAGCCCAGACCTGAATCCTATTGAACATCTCTGGAGAGATCTGAAAATGGCTGTACACCATCCTTTCCCATCCAACCTGATTGAGCTTGAGAGTACTGCAAAGAGGAATGGGCAAAAATTCCCAAAGACAAGTGTGCCAAGCTTGTGGCATCATATTCAAAATGACTTGAGGCTGTAATTACTGCCAAAGGTGCATCAACAAAGTATTGAGCAAAGTCTGTGAATACTTATGTACACGTGATTTTTCAGGTTTTTTATTTTTAATACACTTGCAACAATTTCAAAAAATATTTTTCACATCGTCATTATGGGCTATTGTGTGTAGAATTTTGAGGAAATATATGAATTTAATCAATTTTGGAATAAGGCTGTAACATAAAAAATGTGGAAAAAGTGAAGCGCTGTGAATACTTTCCGGATGCACTGTATGAGTGACAATCCTACCTTTCTGATGACACTGATGACATCGCTGTCTACACTGTAGCTCAGTTTTCCAATTGATGTACATTTAATCTCATACTCCGTGTCTGGACTGAGATCAGTCAAAGTAACTGTATCTTGGCTTTGCATCAGAGGCTGAGATTTCCATTCTGTCTCTGTTTTCATTTTGTACTGCAGCTTAGTCTCCACTGTATCTGGACATGGTGAAGGTACTTTTAAAACCACTTTGTCACCTCTGACCTTTTCAGCAATAGGACAGGCTGGCTTTGTTGGAGGTGTAAAACAAATGGCTTCATCACTTCCCTTTTCATACAGGAGAATGCAGGAACCTGGATTATTTTCCATTTCCTTTGAGGTAGCAATAAACTTGACTGGTTTGTGAACTTTTAAATTGATCATGCTTTTAAACAACTGCAAGTTGCTCCTCATTGTATTTTTGATTTCAGGGGTGAGCCATGTAGTTTGCGAGAAATCAGAGATGCTCCCATTTTTTTTCATTGATGAAGGACTCAGGTAGGTCTTTTGTTTCGAAATGAGCACATCCAACCTCTCAAAGGATGTGAAAGTGTAACAGAGCAAATTTTCAACTTCCAGATCCATCAAACTTTTATCTAGGTTGTCTTCTACCTTTGCTCCAGATTCATTCAGCTGTCTGAGCAACGTTTTAATGATGTTTGATTCATTTTCTTTCTCTTTCAGCCACTGTTCCAGGTCACTTCTTCTGAATGGAGATTCTTCATGCTCACACAGAAGATCAATCAGAGCTGAATCCTTTTCCATGTCCCCACGAATCTTTGGCAAAAGAATCCCAAGCTGTTTCATCAGACTCAACTTGTAGTTGTGACAGTTTTGCTTCATGTTTTTTACTTTGATATTAAATGCAGCAAAGGTCAAAGCAGGTGTGTCTTTCAGGAGATCTCCACATTTCATCTCAGTTGAATTTAGACTCTCAATTACTGATTCAAAGTTTTTGATTAGAGTTATGTTTATGTATCTTTGAAGTTTTGCAGCTCTTGAGTGTAGTTTGTCTAAGGGATAAAGCCACACTCTCAATGGAACGACCAGTTCTTTGTTCTCTCCCAACATTTTTGGGAGATCGGCATAAACCTTTAAAGCATCCTCAAAAGAGGTTGGATTAGATTGGAGCTGAAAATCACCATAAAATGTGCAACTGAATTTTTGGAATGCATTTTTCTGACTGTCATTAATGCTCAAGTCAATGTTAGCACCAACTGAAATGCCCTTTAGTTTATTCAAAGCAACTTGTACTTCTGCAGCTATGGTGCTTTCATTTTCATCTGATGAAACTTCTCTGTCAAACACAAAGCAAGCATCAGCCCCATACAGCACTGCTGTCACTACATGTGTTGCTGTGTCATTCTCAAAGACCTCATGGTGGGATATATTTCCAGAAGCCAAGTGATTCATGGTCAGTTCTTCAAATTTAGACGTTGAATGATAATGCAAGGTCAGTCTTTGCTGTTTGAAGGACATCTTAGTATCATTAAGATACTTGGCTGCTCCACTAACATGAAGGAGTCCACCTAAAAGACTAAACTCCAGACAGGAGTCAATGTTAAATATGCTAGATTTGTCTTCAATAGAGTCTGAAGTGGAGACTTTGAAATCTGTATTGATTTGAGGGCGAGTGTGAATGCTCTGCTGTAGCTGCTCTTTATCCCAAAGGGTGATACCTGTAGAATAAAGAACATATTTAAAATATACAGTCTATATATATATATATATATGTAATATATAAGTATTTTTATTAAGTATGCATGCATGTATTTGGAATTTTTTTTATTTATATTTAGATATAAAATATGTATGTAAAATAAATATCTATGTAAAGAATGTTTTGTAAAGTTTTTCATGTATGTATCATATATACGTAATAAATAAATAAATATAAAACACAAGTGTGTAGCTGTAATTGTCACTGGTGGGACACTAAGGCACGTCTTAAGGCAACGTACATATATATATAGTTGAAGTCAGAATTATTAGCCCCCCTGAATTACTAGCGCCCCTGTTTATTTTTTTCCCCAATTTCTATTTAATGGAGGCAGATTGTTTCAGCACATTTCTAACCATAAAAGTTTTAAAAAATTATTTCTATTAACTGATTTGTTTTAGCTTTTCCATGATGGCAGTAAATAATATTTGACTAGATATTTTTCAAAACACTTCTCTACAGCTTAAAGTGACATTTAAAGGCTAACTAGGTTAATAAGGTAAACTAGGCAGGTTAGGGTAATTAGGCAAGTTATTATTGATATATAATGGTCATATAATGATGGTTTGTTCTGTAGACTATCGAAAAAAAAATAGCTTAAAGGGGCTAATAATTTTGTCCCCCAAATTATTATTTTTTTTAATTAATAACTGTTTTTATTCTAACCGAAATAAAAGAAATAAGACTTTCTCCAGAAGAAAAATATTATCAGACATACTGTGAAAATTTCCCTGCTCTGTTAAAAATCATTTGGGAAATATTTAAAAAAGAAAAAAATATCAAAAAGGGCCAATAATTCTGACTTCAACTATATATATATATATATATATATATATATATATATATATATATATATATATATATATATATATATATATATGCATGTGTGTGTGTGTGTGTGTGTAAAACAAAAGCCATTTTTTCCTTTCGTATTGAAATTCCAGAGACAGTTTATTCTGAAAGAGAGCCGAACTCAAACAAAAACAAAAAAGATGTTAATCCAAAACAAATTTAACAAAAAAGCGATTGAAAACTGATTGTCATTTTCTAATTGTCTGATTGTCAGACTCTAAATCAGAGTCTCCCTCAACTATTTTATAAAGAATCCTCTCTGCTTCAGTTCTGCCGCCTACAACATGCAATCATTATTTACATTAAGATGGTCCTGGTGTCCGCTATAGTGGACATTTAAAAAAAGGATGATATTTTGAAACACAAACAAGTTAACAGCTTTGAAAGCTAAATGTATTGCTCCTGACACTTTAATAATCAAATATATATGTAATAAATAAAAAAAAACTATTAAAAAGCTCAATTTTACATACTTCTTTCCTGCCCATAAAATGTGCTTTTTTGTATGTCAGCCATTTTGTATGCGGTGTAAGAAGTGGTTCCTAGCATGCCAGCCAATCAAATGACATATCACTAGAAAGCCCTGGTAGTCCTCTGCACAGTACAACAAAAATTAACAGAGTAGCTCAAAAATTATAATAATGATAAATAAATAAAAAAATTTTTATGAAAACGCAATTGCACTAAAGAGGACACAAGTCAATGGACGGGTTCTCAGGAGGATTTATACAGGACTTGACATTAACTTTTTTGATCACCAGCCTTGGTGGCTAGTAGAATTCTAATATTACTAGCCCTTCGCCATTTTATCTAGCCACAATTATTTTATATGCATGAATTTGACTTTGACATGCTAAAATTACTTGATTTAGATGTTGTGTTGTCCACATGCCTCCTCATTTGCATGAGCTTGCTCAATGTGCATAAGCCAATGGGTTGTGTTGCAATGCAATTAGTTTTTATTCTACATGACTTTTTTTAGGTCTCAAAATTAAAAATTTACCCAATTTCTCTCTGACCACACCAAAAAGAAAAAATTAATTCTTTGCCACAAATTTTAAATGTGTCAAAACAAGCTAAATGTACCTGCACATGTACTTTTTGTTCAACAAAACTTTTTTTATTTTTTTTTAAATGACGTTTTAAAAAGATCTATTGTCCTGTATCTAAAATATGCACAGTAATCTGGCCTGGCCAGATTAGCAGTTACTACACATAAACAGGGAGTTATTCTCTTGTTAAAGCAATGTTATTGTAAAGAATGATAATTAAACTATATTAACAAAAATAACTGTAATCAAAATAAAGCTGGTGAAAACATACCGTGTGTGATAGTAAAATGATGATCACTTTCACACACTTAATATTAGGCCTGTTAATTTGTTCAAAGAATAATTCAAACAAAAGCAGTTACTGCTGTTGCTTACAAAAGGATGTATGTATATATATTTTTTTCAATCTTAAGCTCTAGAAAGCAGCAGAACTGAGGGTGCACAAGCATTTTGTCTATTCTAGAGAGAATCTACCAAAGCAGTTGCGTTTACTCTACACACGGTTTATTTTCGCAAGTAAACGGTTCTATATTCTATATTTGCGTCTATATTAACCATGTGCATGTTATCATCCTTTCATTATCACACACGGTATGTTTCACCTGCTTTCTTTTTGCTTAGTTATTTTTGTTAATATGGTTTAATGATATTTTTTTACAATAACATTGGTTTAATGGGAGATTACTCCCCGTTTAAGTGTAGTTTACTGCTGATCTGGGACCTTTTGCCAGGACCGATTACTGTGCATATTTTAGATACATGACAATAATTCTTTTTTTTAAAGATTTTATGTTTTTTTAAAGAAAAGTTTTGTTGAATTAAAAAGTGCAACTATACAGTAATATTTTCTTTGTTTTGACACATTAAAACATTGTAAATACTTATTTGTTGTGGTCAGAGATAAATTTGGTAAATCCTTAATTTTGAGCCCTGCAAAGTCGTGAAATAAAAACTGATTGCATTGCGACACAACCCATTTGCTCATGCACTCAGAGCAAGCTAATACACAACACACACAAGAAGTTAAATGAATGAGGAGGCATGTTGCGGACATAACACAACATCTAAATCAAGTCATCTCGGCATTTCAAAGTCAAATTTATGCATATAAAATATGTTTCCCAACAAAAGAAGTGTGGCTAGTGAAAATGTAGAGTGGCTAGTAATGTTAGAAATCTACTAGCCACAGTGGCTGGTGATCAAAAAAGTTGTGTGTGTGTGTGTGTGTGTGTGTGTGTGTGTGTGTGTGTATATATATATATATATATATACATATATATATATATATATATATATATATATATATATATATATATATATATATATATATATATATATATATATATATATAGCAGTCCAAAATCAGTTTTTTATTTTATTCTGTGTTATTTCTCTGTCACATGGTATTTGTTGTGCATACCTGGTACTAGTGCATCTTTTCTGCAGTCATACAGCATCCCAAGTTGGAAGGGTCTACCAAGAGCAGCAGTTTCAATTACATTCACGCCCACTGAATCCATACTAAATTAGAGAAAGAAAAATACCTAAATATAATATTGGACAATGGTATTGTTAATTAATTTGTAACTTTCACAACATATATTTTTGCATTTACAGGAATTCTGAAGTCTGGTGCATATGTTTTGCCTACAGCACCACGCTGTGGCCGTTTACTGAATGCATGAGTCACACAGAGGCGTAGTTGGCACGCTTGTTGTTTTGCTGTTTGCTGAAGCGACGGGTATTCTGAGAAAAATACTTTGAACCCATAGCAAATAGCAGTCAGGCAGTTTGGCAGAGATAATATTGTCAAATCAAAGTCTAGTGAATTGGTAGATTAAATCTTAGAATGATTAAATGAACGCTTGGTTTTGAAAAGTTGTGGGCTATTAATAAACCTTTTTAATACATGAAAGAAATAACAGAAAAATACAAAATGCTACACATAATACAACTTATAGCTTATATTTTGTAAAAGTTTGCATAAAACATATATTTGAATAATAAGAAAAAGTTGGGTTCTTTAACACTTAGTCAATGTGCCTAGATTTACTTTTGGTACATAAATAAAATCGATCTGGAACTTTATTATTCTACAAAGATTGCTTTGGTTATTAAAGTAGTTTGTTTTCAATTTTTACAACTTTGATATTGGACTGCCCTATAGCTACTCTGCATCTCTGTCATATATTTATTTTCTTGAACGGCCACGCATGACCCTGTCACAATTAGCAACATGCTAACTAGCCAAACCAAGAAATTGTGTTGAACAACCATGACTCCCAATTCCTTAGATTACAGGATAAAAAAGTAAATACAATTGAACAACCTTACCTTTATGCGTGATACAAAACAAATAGAAGTACAGTTGTATTTTGTACAAACATGAAATAGTCTTTCACAATGAAGTCTTTAAGCAACTTTACCAATGGGTAAAAATGGATTTCAAGCAAACCGAAAGCAATCTTACTGGTGAAACCAGAAATTTCAGCGCTTTAATCCAGCCAATGTATGAAGCAGATTCAGTCATGATATTTAAGTTTATTATTCAAATGACTTAACAAATACAAAACAGGCAAAGTTACTGTAAATAAATTGTCAAAAATGCTAAAATCATGAAGAATTTAGTCATCAAGTGCAGCACTGCAATTTGATAGCCTACTTAGAGGAAATTTACTGTATTTTTGATTTCTGTTTTTTAAACTTTTTTTAGACACTGAAGGGGATCGTTCTTCAAGTCTATGGACATATCCAGATAGATTTAACTTCTTTGTATTTTATTAACTTGTATTGTATTAATTTGTATTAACTTCTACAATATTGTACTGCCTAAATAAAATTTTAGCAATATTGTACTACCTATATAAAATGATTGCAATATATTTCTTTTAAAAATTTAAAAGCGCACATTTTTTACAATATTTAAAGCAAATTCATTTCATTTGGATCTGAAAGCTGCAAAATGTACAATATAAACAGTTTGCTAAACTTAACAATTCTAATAATTACTGTAATACCCTTCAATCAAATCTTTAAAAACAGCAGTTACATCATTACATATAATGCTTGTTTTTATTGCTCTTCAAATTTAACAGAAATTCTGTGTTAAAAATTAGACTGAATACCACAAAATCAGCCAACTGCCAACTTCCTAATTTATACTTCAGTCTCTAGTGAAGCCATTAAAACATTCCTAGCATCTTCTGCTATTTCATTCAGAGCTTTCTTCAGCATTCCTGAGACGGTCAAATAAGAAAGTCCTCCTGCCACCACAGAGCCAATAATGGGTATGAAGCTCACAAGTAACTCAACAGCATCTTCTGATATAAGAACAGAGGCAGCGCCCAGCAAGGTTAATATTGAACTTGGGTTGATCCCGTGATGCAGAGGAGACTTCATCAGACTCTTCAGTTCCTCTACGGTTTTCCCTGATCGTTCACAGAGTTTCTGCAGGGATGGATCATCCAGACCAAATGCACTGTAGTACTTTCTCAGCTCTTCTGCTATGATGGCTATATCTGCACTGATGGAAAGACCAGGAAGGGGGAAAAGAGCAACACAAGCAGACAGAAAGGCAACTTTTCTGATGTTTTCCTCAAGAGCTTTCTTCTTCTTCTCATTAATCTCCAGTGTGATATTTGGCAAAGCCAACATCAGTACACGTCTCTTATGCTGTGGAAGCTCTTTCTCCATTCTATCCTGCAGCAGATTTAAATCATACTTGCTGAGCTCCCAGCCTGAGATCAGGAATACAATGGGATCTTCTATACCGATCTTTCTCAGACCTATCAAAGACAGAATATACTATTAAAGAAGTAACATGTCATGATGATGTATAAACAAAAGTCTCAAAATAATTCAAGTTATTGCTGTTTCTACATGAGAATAATAGCCTTGTTCAATACAATGATTTTTGAAACAATATGTATTTCTCTACATTGCTCATAAAAAACAAATAAACTAACCATTTATACAGTCCTTGCGGATGGAATCCAGTGTCTTTTTCTGGTCAAAGTTCTTCTTCTTCTTCTCAGCTGTAATGCTTGCATCAATCTTGGAGCGAACAAAGTAAAACTTCTTCCCCATCCTCATGATCTCTTTGGCCAGCTGAGTGTGGCATTCTCTAAATCTATCTGAAGCGATGATAATGAAAAAATCATAGCGCTCAAACTCAACCAACTCGAGATACTCATCGGCTTTAAAATTTGGTGTTCCAATGCCAGGAAGGTCCCACACTTTCACATTGTGGTATTTCGGGTGAATATAAACTTCAGGCTCCATAGTGGTTTCTACAGGGCCAGTTTCAGCAGAGCCCTCATCTTCATCTCCTAAACCCCTGAATGCATTGACAAATGTGGACTTTCCAGAACCAGACTCTCCAGTCACACCAATGTTAAGTTCAACGAGATCTTGCTGTTTGAGATACTCTTTTATAGTGTTTACAGCTGATGGGAGATCCTGTGTAGATATTGAATCTTTAATATCATCCAGGTCCTCCTGGGTTATTACACAATAGTCTTCAAATGTAGCCATCTAAAGAAAAATCTCATTATTAACTGAAGAGGTAAAAGCCATAAAAACTAGCCATAAGAGAAAAAATCATTGATTTATTAAATTTTTTTCAGGATGTCGTAACAGGATGTTTCATATTTATAAACGGTATTTTATCCATTCATTCATTCTTTTCATCTTAGTCCCTTTATTAATAAGGGGTCACCAGAACGGAATAAACTGCCAACTTATTCAGCATTTTTTTTTTTTTTTTTTTGCAGTCGATGCCCTTACAGCTGCAACCCATCACTGGGAAACATCCAATCATCCATCCACACACTCATTCACACACATACACTACGGACAATTTAGCTTACCCAATTCACCTATATCGCATGTCTTTGGACTTGTGGGGGAAACCGGAGCACCCAGAGGAAATCCACACAAACACAGGGAGAACATGCAACTTTCACACAGAAATGCCAACTGATCCAGCCGAGGCTCGAACCAGCGACCTTCTTGCTGTGAGGCGATTGAACTGTATTTTATTATTTGGTAAATGATTCACCCTGCTGGCTTTATTAAAAACTGGACAGTTTCAATTTACTAGAACTTCTATGTGAAGCTTCTTAGACAAAATATACATTGTAAAAGCGCTAAAGAAATAAAGATAAATTGAATTGAATTTATCATATTTCAGTCATATCACTTCATGTCAGACTTTTATATATATTCAAACTAAACGACCTTTGTCACTGCAGCTTAAAAGAGCCCTTTTGACCTATGTTCCATGGTTCAAGATATCATCTTATTAAAATATTGTTTAATTGGATGAAATTATTGTTGCTAATGTAACTAAGTAAACATAGTTTCCCCTATGCAATCTTGCTGTTAAGCTTTGAAACAGGAGAGGAAGCTATTAGAAATTAGCAATCCAGGAAGAAGTTTCCTGAATTGCATATTGTGAAACTGTAAAACAAATTAAATTTTGAAGTAAAGCCACATTCAAAAAAAAAAAAAAAAAAAACTGAATATATCAAAAGTGTCAAAATCACACATTTTCATTGTTAGATTTAATTGTTTGGGCGTCTAGAAGACTACAGCTTCAGGCAAATATATTTCACTTGCTGAAAACAGATTTTATATATGTCTACATTTGCACTCAATGGCTAATTGCATTCTATCAACTTACAGTAAATGTTTTATTTATATTCATGATGATACAAATGATCCTTTCATTGCTGGCAACTGCACTTCTGAAATCAGTTTTTCAGAAGCAGAATAATATTGACAAAAATAAAAATATATTGAATAAAGACAAGTTTCTTACCAAAATCTTCAGTGCAACCCACTCAAAACGAATCTGAATATAGAAAGATTATTGCACAAACTGAAATTTTTGACTGGACAGAAGACAGAAAACAAAAACAAAAAACGGAAGAGCAGAGCAAGATCCGCCCAAAGATACTTTCACTTTCACTGACAATTCGTCACAAGAGTCCCAATAATTTCTCGGAGGTTCTGCGCATGCACCAGTATTTACGTTTAAGCAAATAAACGTGCATTTTTAGCTTGGATGCAAATGTAGATGTAAATGAAAAAAAAAAAAAAAAAAGATCCTGAAACCCGGAAATTAAATGTAATCTACAACAATAACCAACACATTTTAAACAAATTTCCCAACGAATAGTTAAAACAAAAACATTACAATCATTAATACCTATTTGGTTTTAATACAAATATGAAACCGTCTGAAATAATTTATGTACACTGATATGGTCATTTTTTTCCCAAAGATGAATTGCAGCTGGAAGGGCATCCGCTGCGTAAAACATGTGCTGGATAAGTTGGCGGTTCATTTGGCTGTGGCGACCCTGGATTAATATAGGGACTAAGCTGACAAGAAAATGAATGAATGATATGGTCATTTAACACTATTGTACAAATAAACAAGACTTTTTAATTTTCAATATACAGGTTTTTTTTTTCTGGAACCTGCAGATGCTCTTTACAGGAGATTATGCGATGATGGTGATGTTTTGAAATCCTACATTGTCCTACAATAATTTGGCAATGTCTGCCTTAAAAATTAAGACGTGATTCATGTCCTCAATATAGTCTTTGTTTTTATTTCCTTCACAATTGTAAAATTTAGGTAGCCTATCAACAAGTTTAGTATAACCATAATGTGAATATCTATGAAGATTTATATCCATACCATACCCATATTACATATATATTCAAAGTTTAGACTAGTTTATGTATGTGTTTGAGTAAATGTGTATATGTTAGTGTAATGGTCTGGTATCATCTTTTCAATTTCAAATAATATATTTAATTTTACTACAAGACGACAGTTGGTCATATTAACACATTTCCATTAGTTGTGACTAAAAATAATTGAACCTTCAACATATTACATTGCCTTTGCATTGCAAGAGATGAAACATTTGCTTTAAATGTCCACCAGAGGTCTCTGGTAGTCTGTGTTTGCTAGAACACACTATCACTTGAGTATTGGTAGTCTCAGGTGGTGTTCTGTGCATTTACTGAAAATATGACACAATGACCTTTAGAAAGCTGTTGTTAAATGGAGAGTCTGACCATAAATTAGTGTGACGGAGGAGAAATGGGGTCAAAGCCTGTGACAGCCTCACCGAAAGATAATTGTGGAAGAGATGTGGCTTTTATTTGAAAATAAAGTTCACATCAAGGTCTGGATTTATCCTCAGAATATGTAGACCCATTTGCTGTCTGCTTTCCTTTGCATGGAGAACTTATGAGGTAGCTAATGTATGAGTCAAAGCTGATTTGACGTTTGATAATTGCAAACTTATAGGCACCATATGAAAAAAGCAATTTTGATTCATTTGACATTGCAGATTCGTAAATTTACAGTATAAAACAAAACAAAAAACAGAGGTAACTCAAAACATTTGAGGAAACCGATTGCACCAAACTATATAAGTTCAAAAACAAATCCCAATGAGTACTGTGAATTCAATCCATTTGAGTAAACAAAGCAGTTTGAGCACTTACGTTGAAAGATCAATCAGGGATTTATTAGCTCATTTCAAGGAATCGGACCTAGAAGAATGAATCAGAATAAAAGATTCACATTTTGTCTACCATTTGTCCACCAAACAGAAGACATTGTGTTTTGACAGGCACTTTTTTTTCCAGTGGTGTCAGTACAGTGTATCTGCTACTACGTCGTTGGGTGGGTGTGGCCTATTTGTGAATTTGCATAGGTTACGGATCATGTGCAGATTGTGAAACAGCTGTTTATTTGTGATACCTGCATACTATCGCAGGGCTTTCGTGTCCAATGCCTTATGTAGTACTTTAAAATAGCTGTGCTGATCACAGGTGTTTTATGTGAAGTTAGTGTATTTTATATTTAAAAAAGTAACTTAAGATACCTCTCAGATTAAGTTAATATGGTTTAACTTAAGATACCTTTACTGATCCCAGGGGTCTTATGTCAAACACTTTATATATCATATACAGTAACATCAGATACCTGTCCTGATCTCAGTTGTTTTGTGTCTCTGATAGTTATTCTATTATTTACAGTAACATCCATTCTATTTTGTTCTTCTTGGCCGCCAGAGGCAGTGCGTACACTGGATATCATCCCATTGCAGACGCACAGGTTGAGTCTAACCATATTTTCACACCGAAAGCAGCGAGAGCGTCAAAGTAGGCAGAAGTCATTCATTTTCAATGAGAGCCGGCGGTGATAAGCAGCCAGGAGCAGCATGGTGCATCTTCGCCGGTGTGGGCGTCGAGGAGAGTTAAAATCAAGTCAACTTTATGGTAATGAGCTATGACGTGATTCGGCGGCAAGCAATCAGAATGAAGAAGTTCACCGCTTGAGAGATGTTCAGAGAACACAGACCTGTGAACTTTGGTTCCGACCACAGTTGTTCCCAAGGGTTTGATTATTGAGGTCACCAGATTTTCAATTATTTACAATGCTTTCTTACAGGAACATGCATTAAATAAGTTACTGGCGAGTTACTAATGTGCATTAATGTTATATATATTTATCTTTTAAAAAGCGGGAATCTCATGCGACAGTACAAAACAGTATTGCTACTTCAGGATATTTCAGATACATATGGACACATTGGATAATTAAGTGGAGCAAAGCCAAACCACACGCAACTTGATCCTCCATTGTAAAATGAATTTGATAAAAAATGTGCAACATTTTCACACTAGAAAGCCTGTTTTATGCGAGAATGTAACTGATACTGTATGCTGCAACGGCCCCTTTAAATACGAGATCAATGTAGCGAATTTTGACGCTCTGGTCTTGATACAGCACCATCAGCAGCCCCACCAACTTTATTTAGGGGGATGGTTCAACCATCTGCTCTCACTATTCCACCATCAAAGGATTATATTGAGGAACTACATAAATGTTGGGCTAATTCAAAATCACTGACCCACCATACGAATGCAAGCAGTGCATTGGTTGCGATGCAACATGCAGATACTTTTGGGCTGGGTCAAATGCCCAAGGTGGATCCTATCATTGCTTTTTTTTCTTTCTCCGGATGAGGTTGTGAAACCTAATGTCCGCTGCCCAAGGCCTCAGTGTCGTATTACAGATGATCTTCTTATACAGGCATATAACACAGCAGTGCGTATGGGTCACATTTGCAACTCTCTCTCTCAACTTGTATTAGCAATGTCTCTGCAATCAGCTGCGAGAGACACTATAGTCCAAGACTTCAGTGATGCTACGTTACAGTCAATGGCTTTCATGTCAAGAGAATTCGGTAGGCTTATGTCAACACTCACACAAAAACGATGACAGGTCTGGCTTGCTCAATCACCTCTGTCTGAGTCCCGTAGGAAGGCCTTGAGAGACCTACCAGTAGTTCCTGGACAGATTTTTAGCCCAGCAGCTCAACAGACAATAGAACATATTGTACAGGCCAATCAGACCAGCAAGCAATATGCAGACCTGAGGAGAGGTTCATCAACTTGCCTGCAGTACAGGCAGACCCCTAGGTGCAATGAAGCACCACAATTTCAAACTCCTACAAACCCAGCAGATGTCCGTAGAAGCCAGCCTTAGCACTTGGAAAGGTTTCATGGGGTAGACTGTTCTGTTCAGCGACCTCGAAGACAGGGCTGACATTCTTTCAGGCCCCAAGGGGAGAGCACCAATCAAGCAGCCTTCCAGGAATGATAAAGTCCAGAGATA